AAACGTCCTATCTATCTATCAAAATCCTGCCGATGGACAAAGATTGTAATCTCCGTATCGCGCAGACCCATGCATACGGAAGATGCGATGTCCTCAGGCGATTATTTGTGACGACCTACAAGAATATGGTTAGTAGGCACCACACATACATACTATCGTAAGACAGGGTAGTAGAAGAAGAAACACGGGATAGAATGAACGTAGAATAATGTAGAAGATATAATGGGGTTATGAATAGTATAGGGTGTGAATATAAGGGTGATTGTATAATGTGACTACAAGGGGTTAATAGGGAGGCAGCAGCCGGCTGCTAATAATGGGCATGGTCATATGAAGGGATTTGGATTGGGGTTGAAGTTGCTGGCCGACGGGTACGTTGGCCATGTTGGATGCTCTGAAAAGGGAAAATAGTGGGAATGTTTAGTAAAGTTTACGTGAGAGGGTTGGGTCTCGTGACGCATTTCGCCTTAAAACTGACCGCGGTTAACTCCACCTCAGTTAAAGGACATGACACTTTCCTCCAGACCCAAAGTATTCTTACTAGGAAACAGTAACACGTACAATGTATGGCTATTTTGTTTTATGTTTTGCTAGTATTGTACCTTAGAAGTCAGATTTTTTTCACTTAAAACATACTCCTTATTTTGCACATTATTGACCAAGCAAAAGACCAAAACAAAGCCAGTAGTGACCGCAAAAGAAGGGGCTTGGGTTAGGTTTTTTCCTGCATTCCGGGGTTTTTGACGGCGCCGAAGATATGCTCTACAAATAAACCTTATTATTATTTTGAAACGACGATATGCTGGTGAATATGAATTTATCTGCCTACATGACTAAACGCTCCCGCTGCCTATGTGGCTGTTCACGGAGAGCAGCATTTATCTGCTTTGCATTTATTTTTTCACAGGACTAAGTTTGCAATGACGAGGCCCTCCGGGCCTAAAATATGAAATCTATTTATTTATTTATTTGTAACCGCCCGGTTCAGTAAATACTTTTCAAATTCTTGGCGTGTCTTGAAGATATGTCGCTTCATGAGGCTCCTTTGCGCTTCGTATGCATTAAGGGATACCGGATTTCTAGCAGCGAGAGATTTCCTCCACAGCCTCTCCTACTTATTAATATATTTTTCATCGCTTGAGTCAGCCACTGGGGTCTGTTGTTTAGTTTCCTCCGTAAAATCGGACAGTAGTTACTGAGGAGAGTATGCATAACTCACTGAAGCATTCCCAGTCATCGACTGTATTACCGGAAAAAGCCGATTCCCAATTGATGTTGTTCATTGCGACCTTCATTTGATCGAAGTCACCACGCCATATATTCCTTCTAACCCTGGTGGCCTGTTTAGGTACCGAGAATATTAAATAGTCCCAATTAAGTATGACGTGATCACTTCGGCCCAGTGGACGTAGATATTGCACCTCGTCAATGCTGTCCGGCGATTTTGTGAGTACCAGGTCTAGGCAGTTTGATTGCTGCC